AAGTCGACCTCGTATCACCAGCTACTACACCATTCGAAATTATGGTGTATGACATAATTAAGACCTCCTCTCTCTCCAATCGCTTTAACATAACAGAAAACTGAAATAGAAATCGCGAGACTGTTGATTAATATATACCCCAAACCAGCAGGTTTTCATTAAAATCCTTTAAGTAATAGACAGAACATCACCCCAGAATACACGCATGATACAGTTATTGCTAATCTCCCCATTCATATTTATACGTCTAAAAAACGCACTCCCATAGCGAAGTTATTTTTTTTAATTATGCGATGGCTAAATACTTATATATGTATTACCTGACACTTGGATGGTTTAGTAGGTAAATCAAACTTATACGACTTACTTTTAATATGCTCAAGTTCCCTGTTGACCATATTTACCACGGCGTATACACAGTCAAGTTTCAACTGTGCGTACAACTGAAGATCATCAGCATATAGATGATAATGTTACGAGATTGGGGTTCGGGACAATAAAAACTGCCGATTGAATTACTAAAACTTACACTTTATTTACCGAACACAAATTACAGCTTTAAAAACACAAACAATAAAACACAATTCGCAGTTATATCGCTTCGTACTTCGATTCGATTCGCTTGAATTGCCAATTCAATACTCACTCGGTAGCGGTCCTTACTGGCCTTATATACTACCCTCTCCAGATCGATCACCTTCCCGTTTTACAGTTCGCTTAGGACTGCCGGATCGAAGATGACCCCTTACCCCACAGCCCTAGCACCTTGGGCTGTATTTTTTATTATGTCCGCGAACTGAAGCTGCTGTAACCTCCCTGATACGATGGGAACAATGATTCTGCCGCACGGCTTCCACATCCAGTGCATGGACCAAGGCGTGCTTAAGCGTCACCTCGTTCCCGAGCCTCACAGCAGCTCTGACTTCAAGGTCGCGGATGCTATCGATGAATGTCTGAACCAGGTTCCCATCAATAAGCGCGGGTATAGACTGGTATGCTTTCCGAACCAGCTTTTCCACCTCAACGGCTCACTGCTGCAGGTTTTCGTTCATTTTCACTATGACCACACCATGTATCGATCATTACACTGTATTATTGTTGCGCGGCTAAGTTGATATCTGGCACTAGCGCCATCTAGTGTCGGGTAACGGATCGAGGGGAGAGCTTTCCAGAAAATGACATCACTAATCTTTCAACCGACAGCGCCATCTGTTGTCGAAAGAAAGAACTAAGGTTCTGGAAGCTGACTCTCGAACTTTCGGTGCTTTGTCGATTGGTGCGCGTATTTACTTGAATGTTCTGAATGATTCGGTACTAATGTGTATTTATAGGCGCTGCAAGGTGCGATCGTGGAAGTATTGAATTTGACGAGACAAGCGAAGCTTGGGAGCGGAATAAAGTGAATTAGTGTGCTTAATTATTGGTGTTTTAAGTTTTAATTTGTGTAAAGAAAATTAAAGTGTTAATTTAGGTAATCCTATCGGCAATTTTTATTGTCACGAACCTCAAGCTCGTAACATTATTATGCAAACGTATATACTATATTATTATTCAAACTGTATATTTGCTTCTGATACAAATAATTACTACTTTTGTTCACATAAATATGTATAATATCTATACTGTCTATCTACTATGGCTGGTATAAATCCAGGATCCATGTCTGGCTCACCAAATAAGTCATTTAGTATTAAGCAACTTGCTGACATAAGGTACCTAATTGTACATAAATGCAGTTGCATAAAATAGAGAAGTTTTCTTAAATCCTTCGACCTAAAGATTCTACTTTCTATTTCATTCTAAGTCTCTTTTAATATACACAATGACTTTTTTGTGTATATGCAATAAATCACTCAAAATTTATTACTTAATTAAGATTTTACTAGTAAACTAAAACTTAAAAGTTCTAAGACCTGTATTTGTCAGTTGTTTTGGATAATTCAACATAAATAAAAAAAATTATACATGGAAAAGTTATCCTACATTATATAAAAGACATTAAAATAGTTTAAATCTATTTGTTTTTATTACATACATACCGTAAATTTTATTAACTAAACGGCGAATTTACCGTGCCACTACAAAAAATAAAAAGAATATGGGATATTAATATTTCGCTTCTTGCATGATATTATCCACATAATATTTAACTTGTGCATCGATTAGACAATAAATATTGTTTCATCGTTTTTTTTGTTTCGTTGGCAAACCGTTCACTTTAGTAGTATTTGTTATAATTTGAAATAGGAATTTTTCTAAACTTTATTATAAACTCAATTATATATCATACATAACATCACTTTTATATATAATATTAGGAAATCATATTACATCAAATCACATTTATTTTATTAATTACATGTTAAACGGACAAGTTAGGTGCATCAACGTTTTAATTCAGGGGTTAGGCGTTTTATGTACCCACGGGATTATATAGGGTAGTGGATATTCTTATACCGCCACTACGCGGTATAGTAACATTATCGGTAAATAATCGCTTTGTTATCATCATCATTAGAGCCCTTTCTATATATACCGCTGAACATTGCATGGTGACACATAACAGGGCAGAGCTTGGTTGTAGTTGCAAATTCCGGGTTAAAATCGCGGAAGGAACTAGTGTTTGCAGGAAGTAACGTAGTGCTGTAGTGGCCTACAAATAATTTACTTACCCATGTAACAGAAAAAAAACCCACCCTCCTCCAAAAAATGTTAAAAAACTTATTATGGTTCCCATTTAATGATCAATAAGTCGATTAATGAACTTGGAATTTAAAGCCACTTAATACGTTTACTTTTGTTTTAGAATCTACATGACATGCATTCCTTAAAAGATTTATCCGTAATCATCATGTTGAAAAGTTCCAAGCGGATAAAAATACTCTTGTTTTGTTAATGCTGCTTCTTATTTTAAATATAGGAAGAATCGACTTTAACATTTCCATATGTTTGTACCACCACTTGACTGTCGCCAGAGTTTCATAAGTTAATCTGCACACACTGCACCTTGCATAGTGTGCAGAAGAAATAAATAACTTAAGAATTGACTTCATATTTAAAGAAAGTTATAATAACTCCCTTTTTCTATAATAAAACTGTTTATTGAAATAGTTGATTGCTTTTGTAGAAGTGGTAGACAATAGATAAGCAGTTATTGTATTTATAGGCAATTTTCCAAATACACGTTTAATTCTTTTATCGCAAAAGACAGCGTTTCGTAGGATACATGTATGTTGTCACTGTGAGTGTAGGATAGGAACGGTAATGAACTTTTAAAGCTAAGCAAATCGACGCAACTAAAGCGTAATTCTCAATTATTTTTGATGTGGAGTACTTTTATACGTGGTAGAGCGACGCTGCAGTTATATTATAGTTGTAGCATAAATGTTTCTGCTCAACAGGGATAGGTCTACGCTCTCACAGAATACCAGCGTAAAATAGTAGCTCAATACTCCTGTGTTTCGTATGGTGAGTGTAGAGATCCGAAGACCCTTTTTTACTGGTTACGAGGCATTCCATATTAGTCCTCAGGGGTGACAACGCAACTGAGTTTTGAATCTTAATCTAGGATTAATGTAGATGTCTATGGGCCACAGCAACCACTTACCATCAGTTGGACTGTATGCTCGTTTATCACCTTATCCTATGAAAAAATTAACTCTTATTTTTATTTATTAATTATTACAATCCTAGCATAGACACCTATTGATCCTACGAGTATCATGCTCACCGATGTTACATAACAGTAATGTATTTTGCTAACATATAATTATATTACGAGAACAAATTCAATATAGTAAGACGCCAGCGCAAAAAATGGATTGACTATATTACGGAGCAAAGGCTTTTTTCGACGATGACAGGACATGAGATTAACGTATTACCGATTACCCGAATATTGCAGATATCGTTTTTGTTATGGTTGCCAAAATGTATTCTTTGTTGAAAAAGGGAAGCAGAATAATAATTAATGATTATCTTGAAAATTTATACTTCATCTATCATATGCGTGGTATATGTGAATAGAACAATCTGCCACCGTCTATCGTTCCGTTTGATTACAATTATTTAAACGTCTTTAAGACACGAGTGAAAAGATTTTTGTTACGCTAAGACGAAGTGTCTTTAATCATCTAGGGCTTTATATCCACTTACCACCAAGTGGATTGTAGGTAAGCACTGCCTTAAAATCTTTAAAAAAATTCATCGGTTCATCAGGTGAGTGGATGCTGTGGCCCATAGACATCCACATTTATCCTAGATTAAGAATCAAAACGCAGTTGCGTTGTCACCCCTGAGGATTAAGATGGAATGCCTCGTAACCAATATAAAAGGGTCTCCGGATCTCTACACTCACCATACGAAACACAGAAGTATTATTATTAATAATAATAATAATAATAAAAAAAAAATATATAATAATATATATAATATATATAATAATAATAATAATATATATAATATATAAAATGGCGTAGGGAAGTGACGACCCCATCGCCCGCTGACGTGACGGTTATGTGACAAAACCGCTACGTCCGCGCAGTCAGTCAGCACCTTGCCAAGAGGTGTGAGCACCGTGCCTCGGCAAAAATTGATGGTGCAAGGGCCCGCTTGTGCATATGGCCTCACCATGAAACGGCGCCGGGTCTGGGCGTCTCCCGTTAAATGACGCCCTGTATGGATGATGGAACACAGAAGATTGCGCAAAGGGCCGCTGCCTGGAGGTCGTCAGGGCGCGTCTGGAGCTGGCGCTGGACGCGACAGCATGCGAACCGCCAGCCGAGCGCGAGGTGCTGCACGACCACCCAGCAGCCCCTCGCATCCATCATCCCCACCAGCTTGCTTGGTGTCGGCAGGGTCTTCGCAGACCCAGCAATCGGCACCCGCCACTGGTGGAGTACGCCGCATGCGATGGACCATCAATATGAATACAAACGCATTGCGGGCGTATTTTAGGGCGAAAGGGGGAGAAATTGGAAGTTTCGCGTATCGGGCATGGGATGCATCGTCTTTTTACTGAGCTGGAGCCATCTATTACTGTCACCGAGCAAAACCTGGCAGACCGAGTTCGGTATATCCTACGCTCAAATATATTTGATGGCGCCGAACTCGAACGGCTACGACGTGAGGCTGTTCCCTCATCAAATGAAAACGCTACGACTGGGGGTGCGGTGCCACAAGTTGCAGAACAACCCGCACACGTGGATGCCGCCGAGAATACCCCAGTGGTTGCTGATTCAAATGATGATGGAACATTCACCCAGGAACTAGAAATAGAGCAAATGAGGAGTACATTGGAAGAGGCGATTATGGAAACGCGCAGTACGCCTCTCGAAAATCGACCGCGACTTCCCCGCATAGCCCTAAGCAGGCGGAATCGGGCTGTCGTGAGGGCTCTGAACCCAATACTGGTGACCTATTTGGAAGCCAGCCGGGACCTTTGAGAGACGGACTCAATTCTCTTTGGCGCCGCACTGGCAGTCTGCAGTATTATAGGCGCCAAACTTTCCACGGCTGGACGCACTACTGGACAAAGTAGTGCTATCCCAGCCTGGAGAACAAAAATTGATGAACGTATCGCAAAGGCTAGGGCCCTCATCGGCAGACTCATATGCTTCAGGTCAGGCAATACCAGGCCATGGATTGTGTGCACCGTCAGGATGGCGTTTGCTGGGACAAATGTTAGTTTGTCCCAGCCGGATATAATGCAAAAACTGACGGAGCGCATAGACGACCTGAAGCAGAGAATCGCTGTTTGGGGAAAGCGGATTCGGCGATATACCGAGAGGTCGACACGGTTCAACCAGAATTGTCTCTTCCAGAGTGATCAGAAGAGGCTCTATAAATCATTGGAGCGACCAATGGTAAGTAGAACGGGCCCAGTACCGAATCAGGCCGACACGGTCGCATTCTGGCGCAGCCTGTGGTCAGAGCCCGTAAACCACAACGAGGGCCCTTGGATGGAAGTTGTGGCGAGTCAGTGTGCGGGTATTACGCCCATGGACCCCGTCACCATAACGCCGGATAACGTAGCTGAGGCGGTCCGTAGGGCCCCGAACTGGAAAAGTCCGGGACTGGACGAGCTGCATCACTACTGGCTGAAGGGGTTCGTGGTGTGTCACACTGTGCTCGCCCGACAGTTTCAAGAGGTTCTCAACCAGAAGTCGCTCCCGAGCCTCTTCACTACTGGGATCACCCATTTGGTTCCTAAAGGCCAGGGTACCACAGACCCGAGCAAATACCGCCCCATCACATGTCTACCTACCATATACAAGACACTAACATCCATTTTGAGCGCGAGAATCACTCGTCACCTGGACTCAAATCAGGTGATGTCGCGCGCTCAAAATGGATGTCGGGGCGGCGGTCGTGGAACCAAGGAACCACTCCTCATTGACGCGGTCATTGGCAAAGTGGTGAAACGCAACCGTCGGAACTTCTCCGCCGCCTGGATAGACTACAGAAAGGCATTCGACTCGGCGCCCCATACATGGCTAAAGAGAGTCCTCGAACTGTACAAGATAGACTGTACAGTTAGAGACTTCCTCGAGCAGTGTATGGGGCAGTGGAGTACGATCCTTTGTCATCTGGGTGAGCGGATGATGGCTGCGGAGAACCACATAAGGATAAGAAGGGGTATCTTCCAGGGCGATTGTCTGAGTCCAATATGGTTCTGCCTCTCTCTGAACCCTCTTAGTACCTTACTGGAGGGCTCCGGGAGGGGATTTCAGCTACGGAAAGGAGGGACAAAAGTGACCCACCTTTTCTATATGGATGACCTCAAGTTATTCGCCTCCAGTCGCTCCCATCTTATGGAATTGCTAAACATCACTTGTGAATTTAGCAATTCCATTGGAATGGAGCTGGGGACGGATAAGTGTGCGGTACTCCATGTTGAGAGGGGAAGGGTTGCTAACTCTGAGGGCATAGACTTATCTATGCCCGTCAACTTAAGGACCCTTTCCGAGGCTGAAACATACCGATACCTGGGTATGTCACAGAACATCGGTATCGATGAGGCTGGTATGAAACAGTCAGTTTGCGACGTGTTTTATGCACGCTTGACCAAAGTGCTTAACAGCCTTTTGTCCGGTGTGAATAAGACACAAGCATATAACGGCTGGGTCATGCCTGTCCTCATGTATACCTTTGGCATACTCAGGTGGACTCAGACTGAACTTAACGCCCTGGATAGAAAAGTCCGCACTACCATGACGTAGCACAGGATTCATCATCCGAGATCGTCGGTAATGAGGCTGTACTTGCCGCGAAAGCGTGGTGGGCGTGGCTTCTTGAGCGCGCTCACTATGCATAATCGCGAAGTGTGCAGCCTCCGTAATTACTTCCTGGCGAGATCGGATGATCCATTCTATAAGGACGTCATTTCTTGTGATAGACTTACCCCTATATCCTTAGCCAACGAGCAATGGCAAGACCCGGCAGTGCAGACAATTTCCGACCGGGAGACCGTATGGAAGGAGAAGGAGCTCCACGGGAGGTTCTACAAGTCTCTACATGGGCCTTTCGTAGACACAGTAACCTACCTCCACTGGCTACGCTTTGGTGACCTCTTCGGGGGAAACCGAGGGTTTTGTCTGTGCAATACAGGATCAGGTTATTAAGACCAACAACTATCGGAGATACATCCTAAAGGATGGCACCATCGACATCTGTCGAGCTTGTCGCCATCCCGGTGAGTCACTTAGGCATGTCATCTCCGGTTGTTCGGCGCTTTCTAACTCTGAGTACTTGCACAGGCACAACCTAGTAGCCAGAATTCTACACCAGGAGCTCGCTCTGAAATACGGTTTCGTGGATCGGAAGTTGCCGTATTACAAGTACTTGCCGGAAGCCGTGCTCGAAAATGATCGCGCCAGGCTCTATTGGGACCGGGCCATCATCACAGACAGGACTATTCTTGCGAATAAGCCTGATATTGTGCTGATGGACCGTGCACAGTCAAGGATATTTTTGGTCGACATTACCATTCCGTGTGACGAGAACCTCGTGAAAGCCGAAACAGATAAGCAAACAAAATATCTGGACCTGGCTCACGAGGTGACCGACATGTGGGGTGGTTTGCCGACCGAAATTATTCCTGTAGTCGTCTCTGCAAACGGGCTAATCCCAGTCAGCCTCTCGGGTCATCTGAGGCGGCTGGGACTACGTGGCGGACCGCTCCAGGTTCAAATGCAGAAGGCGGTGCTCCTCGATACCGCCCGCATCGTCCGCCGGTTTCTTTCCCTTTCCCCCTAACCCTCGGCCGTTTGTTCTCCCCTGCCGAGGGCTTCCATCTGGTTGGGCTTTTATTTATTTATGTATTTTTTTTTATTTATTTTTTTTTTTATTGATATTTATGTATATTTATCTTTTCATTTTCGTTTATAATTATATATTTATACATCCCAACCAGATGAGAAAACTATATAGATACCCCACATAATAATAATAATAATTTCTTTATTTGACACTTATAATTTCATACAACATCATCATGAGCCCTGACTCCCAAACTAGGATACCCTGTATTTCAAGAGTCAGTTCCTTCCCATTCAGTAACTCTTTGTGTCAAAATACATTAGAGAAATGTTGATATAATATATTTAATACACAGTTAACACTATATACATATATATGTGTGTGTGTGTGTGTGTGTATGTGTGTGTGTGTGTGTGTGTGTGTGTGTGTGTGAGTGAGTGAGTGAGTATATGTGTGTGAGTGAGTAGCGTGTTTGTTGCACTGCACATAAAGTTATTCATATGGAATTATTAAATTTTCGCATTTATCATAGTCACATTCTTTAAGTCAATTATATAACATACTTTTAAATGTATGATTTGAAGCCTTTCTTGTGCACACTGTTTTATTTAGAATATTATAAAACTTGGGGCTACGTAATTATAATTCCTTTTGCCGAATATGGATTTAACTTTGGGGATATTTATACGTACGGTTCTTTTTGAATTAAGTATTTGCGGAACACTACATCTATGAAAGCGTCTAAGACATTGAAATATGAATAATTTGCGAACACTTAGTACATCAGTTAACTTATATACCATTTCTGTCGAATACCTATAAGGAAGTGAAAGTATTACTTTTAGTACAGCCATTTGAGCTCGCTCTAATTCTATAAGATGTGTTTTAGCAGCGCATCCCCAAGAACATATGCAATAACTGATAACGCTCTGGCACAACGCTTTGTACGTTTGTAGTAGTAGATTTCTGTTTGCAACTGTTTTTAAATTCTTAAAGACATAGATAAACTTTCTGATTTTGTTAGATATAAATGAAATATGTGGAGCCCAATTAAGCTTATCATCAACAATTACACCGCGATATCGAATTGTGTCAGCTTTACTTAGAGTGGGACACTCACATGCCGAATTAGTGTTAAAGTTTCTATTAAAAGGATGCGCGTGAATTATAATTTTAAATTCGTTTCGTGGATTGCAAGCAGCGGTTTTTGAAAAACATAGAAATTTTGTTTTAGTGGTGTTCAATGTAAGTAGGTTATCTTCCAGCCAACTAGTACCCTTACACTGACCTTCCTCAGTAGATTTTTAACAGCATCCCAACTTGGACCATGAAAGAGTAAGACTGTATCATCTGCAAACATGAAAAGGTCTACAGCACGGATATTCAAGTGACACAAGTCGTTAATGTACGCCAAAAAAGAGGGTTGGTCCCAGTGTACTGCCCTGCGGAATTCCATATGAGCAGATAGCAGTGTCACTGAGGCAGTCATCAATACGTACTTTTTGGTTCCTGTTGGAGAGATAATCAATAAACCAGTCCAATGCTATTCCTCGAATGCCAAAATTCTGAAGACGGGTTATAAGGACAGGTATGGATACTGTATCAAATGCTTTTTGCAAATCTAAGAAAACTCCTAAGCACTTTTTACCTTCATCTAGATATTGTGATATTTTAGTGGTCAAATTAAAAACCGCCTCTTCGGTTGAACGATTTTTTCTAAAGCCATATTGATTTCCAGCAAGGAATTTGTTGTTTTCTAGGTACTTAATTAGTCGCCTATTTACAAGCTTCTCTAGTATCTTAGAAAGTGATGATAATATAGCTATAGGCCTATAATTTGATGGAGATGATTTGTCTCCTGCTTTATATATTGGACAGATTATAGCTTGTTTAAATTGATCCGGAAAAACACCAGATAGAAAACTTAAGTTGCATATATGGGCTATGTGAGGTGCTAACAAGGTGTTAATTTTTTTTTAAAAACCTACAGAAATGTCATCCCATTCCGAAGCACAGTTGGATTTAAGGCTACTAATTATGAGTCTAACTTCTTCCGGGTCTGTTAAAAATAATGACATAGATTGTGCTGGACCAATTCGATTAGCATCCCTAGCAAGCTGAAGGTCAGTTTTATTTAATTTTTTTAGGATAGTATTGGCCAAATGATTTCCAATTGATATAAAGA